GATCGTGCGTTTGATGGTCTTGCTCTGTCGTCTCCTTCAAGGGGGGGACAGTGCTTCAGTCTTTGAATATTTAGATCTGTGTGTTTGACGCGTACTGGCCACCGTGGGTTATCTTACGGCTTGGCTGGTGTTGTCTCCTGATCATGTGCAATGGTAGCCGCAGGGCTGGGTCTCTATGGTATCCAGCATCGGGAGGCGCCTGTGAGACCCAGTTCTCCCAGTGACTCCAGGGGGAAGGTTGGACACTTGGCTAAGGTGCTGTCCATCTGGGTTCTCGGCAGTAAAGTTACTGTTTTCCTTGTGTAACAAGTACGAATAAATGGACACCTACTTTGAAACTAGGTAAATACCTGTTATTCCTCAAGCCTTCCCTTACTGGTTTGAGCATCCACTTGTGATTCTCCCCAGAGTCCAGTGGAGATATTTGCAAAATGGTATTTTCTAGCTCTCTTGTGTCTTCTACACGGATCCCTTGGCTTTCTGTCACATGCAGGAACTTTCCTTCCCCACTCTTTTCTTTCCAGGTGGACACACAGGCTCCTCTTTCATGAGCTTCAAACCTTTACTGTCATTATTGATTTGGGTGCTTCATTTGTCCCAGATCTGGCCTGTAAAAGCCCCTTCAGGGTGGCTTCTGTGCCCTCTGCACATGCCCCCATCAGTCTGTAGGCCCTGATTTACTTCTTGGCAAGAAATAGGTTCCACGCTCATCTCGTCCTTTCTATGCCCCCGTCCTAGCCATTCCTCCGGGCAGCCCTGATTCACGTTCGAGGAGAACGGTTATTTAGTTACCGCGGCCCGGGAGGCACCTGGCTGACTGAGGTGGTGGAGCGTGCGACTCGATCTCAGGGTCGTGGGTTCAAGCCCAACATCGTGTGTGGCGCCTGCTCTACAGAAGTGTTTAAAATATGCTCCCTTTAAGAGGTGGAACCAAATTCCCCACCTCTTTTTTTTTTTTTTTTTTTTAATTTTTTTTTTCAACGTTTTTATTTATTTTTGGGACAGAGAGAGACAGAGCATGAACGGGGGAGGGGCAGAGAGAGAGGGAGACACAGAATCGGAAGCAGGCTCCAGGCTCCGAGCCACCAGCCCAGAGCCCGACGCGGGGCTCGAACTCACGGACCGTGAGATCGTGACCTGGCTGAAGTCGGACGCTTAACCGACTGCGCCACCCAGGCGCCCCCCAAATTCCCCACCTCTTGAGAGCGAACTGGATCTTAGGTACCAAGATGTGAGTGCCAGGTGTGCTCACAGTTGCTGGGGCATCACTGCTAGAAAGTGTGAAAACAGACACACACGTGTGTACTATACTCATATCTGTCCATCTGTACACACCCATACTTGTCTAACATTTGTTAGAAAACCATGTGTTCACATGGATACGGGCTCGCATCACAGCGTCCCCTTCCCCCTTCCCGTACCTGGAACCCTCACCTCCAGCAGTTAAGAAGGCTGCTCTCGGCATCCCGTGGACGTGTCAGCACAGTCCGAGGTGGCAGAGTAAGCTGCGTGACCAGTCGCCCTGGACTCTGTGAGAACAGAGCCGCAGACTGGGGGCCAGTGTCTGCCCAGCGCTGCCGTGTCCGGCTGCGGGGCCTCCAGGCCAGGGCTCTGTTTGGAAGCTGGGGGAGTGTCCCTCCTCTGCCCGTGTTCGGCCTGAAATCTGGAATCCAGTCTGACCTACTTGTTTCCGTTCACGTTCCATCTACTGGGTCTTTTCCGCATCCTTATCAAGTTCGTTTCCTATTTTTGAACTTACGAACAGTCAAAATGGTTGTTGACTACTGGAGTCAAAACCGTAAAAAAAATGTTTTAAATATGTACGTATATCCACATGTTGAATATCCATGTAAACCCACACGCAGAAGACTCCTGTCTTGTGCATATGGCCCAGTGGCCGTGGGGGGCCGGGCGCTGTGTGGAGCCCGTGAGGCCGGGCGGCCCGCGAGCGAGCAGAGGGCGGAAGAAAAACAGACCTTGCCGTCCGCACGTTCGAGTGCATTTGCTCTCTCCTCCGGCTCGTCACTTAACGGACGCTGTCTTCATCCTTTTCCTTCTCCAGGAGGGATTTGATGCCTTGGATCCCTTTATTCCCATCCTGGTTTCTAACTACAGCCCGAAGGAGTTTGAAAGTTGTATTCAGTATTATCTGGAGAACAGTTGGCTTCAACATGAGAAAGGTAGGTTAATTTTTCGGGGTTTTATGTTCAGAGTCCCACGGAGTCAGAGCCATGACCTCTTCTTCCCTCGGCAGCAGCCTATAACTTGTATTTCCCCTTTTCCCTTTATCCTGCCCCCTCTCTGGCTGGCTGCAGGGTGTGGAGAGGGGTGGGGGAGGGGAAGTTAAATTTACAAAAAAACAGGACATCTCTCCCCAGATTCTCATGGTCCAGAAGCTGGTGCTCACGGAAAGAGGCGGCCAGGCCAAGGCCAGCCGTCCGGGGAGGGCGGGCGGGGTAGCTGTCAGCTCTACCTGCCCTGTACGCACGCAAGCATTCAGCCGTTTGTTTCGGTCTCGCCCTCCCCTCTGGGTGCGGGGGGTCCAGGGAGACGAAAGGCTGACCGCTCTCTAGGTGGTCGTGGTCGAGAACTGGCAGAGACGGGGTGGGTTATCCGGGGAAGGGAGGGAAGGGTGTAGAGCAGCTCCCGCACATGGCGGGCTGGGGGGCACGGCTGGGGAGATTTCTAAGGGGGTCAGCAGGTTTGACAAAGTGCTAGAGGCCAGATGTTCTTGGCTCAGAGGGAGGCAGATGCTGAGCCAGAGGAATAAACACAGAAAAGGTGGTCGCTTACCGGGAGAAAGGCTCTGGAAGCGAGACCTTGGGAGTGTCACGTGGCCGGTGCCGACAGAGTTTTTGGGGTAACAGTGCTACAGGAGAGAACTGCCAGCTGTGTGTGTCTGCTCCCCGCCCCCCACCTTAGCTCACACAGAAGAAGGGAAAAAGGAGCTTCTGTTCCTGAGTAACGCAAACCCTGGACAGCTGGAGCGGCTGTGTGCCCACCTTTGAGCCACGGTCACGACGCGCGTGGACGACAGTGGACGTTTCCTTTCACAGACCCCGTCGGGTGGGGGGGGGGGGCCACACGGTCCACGGACAGAGGCCCCTGTGCCGCAGCGGCTCCCCCGTGAAGTGACCATGTGGCAGTAAGGTGTCCTCTTGTTCCCGAAACTCGTGAGAGCTTATCAGGGGTGGTTTTCGTATTGTAAGTAATTATGGATCTGTCCTTAAAAATAAATGATCCTTGGGGCGCCTGGGTGGCGCCGTCGGTTGGGCGTCCGACTTCAGCCAGGTCACGATCTCACGGTCCGTGAGTTCGAGCCCCGCGTCGGGCTCTGGGCTGATGGCTCAGAGCCTGGAGCCTGTTTCCGATTCTGTGTCTCCCTCTCTCTCTGCCCCTCCCCCGTTCGTGCTCTGTGTCTCTCTGTCCCAAAAATAAATAAATAAACGTTGAAAAAAAAATTTTTTTTAATAAATAAATAAATAAATAAATGATCCTTCTTAAAGTGTTGCGTTAGATTTTTAAGATGGAAAGAGCCTTCCTTTGGCCAAATTGAATTTCCCTGAATTCTGCTTGTTAGGAGTCTGAAGAGACCAGATCCTAGAGAAATTTCCATGAGTTCTATTTTCCAGACTTGATGTGGCTCAGGAGACCGAGATTCACACCGTAACTCCTCCCCCACAAGCACCTACACCGACTGCTCACTTCCTACTGACGCTGCCACCACTGCTCCCGGGAGCCTGACCGAGGCCCCTTTCTGCAGGTTCCGGACACGGTGTGGAGTAAGGAGGGAGCGCAGGGAGAGTGGTTCTGTCTACGCAGCCACCTTCAGGGGACCGGAGGAAACGGTGACTCAGATCGGCCTCGGCACAGAATTCTCTGCCCCTGCCCACACCGGTGGTGTCAGAAGTTCGAGTCCCGGCTGCCACTTACTGGCGGTCTTAGGGCCTCGCAGCCGATCTGCTTCTCCAGTGTCCCCTGACCTCTGCTTCACCTGGTCTGAGGGCAAGAACGCCCCGCCGTCAGGGGGCCGTGAGGACTGAACCACACGGCATGTGGACGGGACCTCACGCATGGCAGGCTGCTACCGTTCGGGACTTGGATTTGAGGGAGACGGTCTCCCCCTGGAGAGCCGGCTTCCCCTGCCTGACCCTCCTCCTCGAGGATTCCGTCAGAAGCAGAGCCTCACCCGACCCAGCCTCGGTCAGCGCAGCCAGACTCCGAGGCGAGTGCCCTACAAGCCTGCGGGGTCAGCCGCCACCACTGGAAGGCTCTAAGCCCTGTGACGAACCCCTTTAGTGTGGTTCTGCCCTCTGAACCCTGACACCCCCCCCCCCCACACTGGGGACGGTCACGGCCAGGTTTATCTTACCCTGAGCTCAAAGCCCTCGGCCTCTCCATCCGCTCCATCACTTCCCGCTCCAGCCCCTCTCGTCCTTTGTGCCGGCCTGCTCTCCACCCCCACCCCTGCCTCCTCCCAATGCTTCCGAGGCCCTAGTGAGCTGTGCTGCGGCCCGGGTCACCCAGGGGCCTCAGTCCACCTGTTCCTCTTGTTGCCCTGTGTGCATTACAGTTCAAGCCACAAAAATAGATCTCATGGAAACCAGCCTCCTTCCTCTCGTTCCCCTTTTCTAGAAGCAACTTCTGTTACCAAATCCTAGACCTAAAACTCTACACAAAAAATAGGCTTTTGGGGCATCTGGGTGGCTCATTCGGTTAAAAGTCCGACTTTGATTTCGGCTCAGGTCACAATCTCATGGTTAGTGGGTTCAAGCCCCGCGTTTGGGCTCTGTGCTGACAACGCGGAGCTTGCTTGGGGTTCTCTGTCTCTGCCCCTCCCCTCAAACAAATAAACTTTAAAAAAAAAATAGGCTTTTTTTTAAAGCCTTTTTTTTTTTTTTTTTTTTAAGTTTATTGAGAGAGAAAATCCCAGACAGGTTCTGCGTTGTCAGCACAGAGCCCAACATGGGACTCAAACCCACAAAGCGCAAGATCATGACCTGAGCTGAAGCTGGACTTTTAACCGACTGAGCCACCCAGGCGCCCCTAAAGATTTTATTCTTAGTAAACTCTACACCCAGCGTGGGGCTTGAACTCACACATCCAATGTCCAGAGCCCCACGCTGCTGTAAACCTCCAGCCCCCGGCCTCTGCCACTGAGAGCAGCAACCCAGAGATGGCCGCAGCTCCTCTCCTCCCAGGGGGTGTCTGCACCCCACTGGCAGACCCGAGCCTTAGCCGCAAATGAGGCTGGGAACCCGGCTTCCATGTCTGGGTGGCTAAACCCATCATCGATAGGCCTCCTCTTCATTGACGAACGTGGAACAGTAAGTTGTATGGCTGTCCCACCACAGGTCCTACTGAAGAGTTACCATCGTTCCTTCTGTCATTTGCTAAATGTAGACTCAATTTTTTTCCAAATCCTCTATCATAATCTACCCTGTCCAGTCCTCTTTTTCTTAAGATCCTTCTACTATAGACTCAATCCTCATGCCCCGATTTCTACTGGCTCCTTGCTAAGCCTGCCGCATAGTCTCTTAGGGCTTCTCTTAATCACTCAATTGCATTGAGTCCAGATTCAAAAGTAAGAAGTAAGACTGTCTTAATTTTCAGATGACAGCCCTGTAGAGAGAAAATCTTAGGCTCAAAACATCTAAATATAAGTTCAGCAAGGCCACAATACAAGATGAATACACAAAAACCAATTCTATGTCTCTGTTATAGCAATGAAATAAAACTGCAATTAAGAAAGTAAATTCAAAGAGCAGGAATACAAAGTATTGGCAATTTTAACAGAGGAACTGCAAAATTATACACCAAAAACTATAAATTATTACCGAGGGAAATTAAAGAGGATCTAAACTGGAAAGACGGTCTGTGTTCACAGGTTGGAAAACTCAATGGGGTTAAGATGTTAATTCTCCCCAGACTGGCCGATAAGTGCAATCAGTATTAAAATTTCAGCAGGCTCTTTCGCAAAAATTGGCAACTGACCCTAAAGTTCATACAGAAAAAAAAACAAAACAAAAAACCTGGAGTAGTCAAAATGATTTTTTAAATAAGCAAACTGGGCAGAGTTACTCTTCCTTTTTTCAAAACATAATCTAAAGCTACAGTAACATGAGAGCGCGGTCCTGGTACAACCACATACAACACTGAGTCCAGACAGAAGTCTCGTGTTTACGGTCAACTGATTTTCAACAAAGATGTGAAGGCAATATATTGAGGAAAATCCCCAAAAGATTGTGCTGGGATAGCTGGTTATGGACGAGCAAAATCATGGATTTGGACCACAGATTTACACACACACTCAAAATGTATCATGGGGCTAAGTGTAAGAAGTAAACTATAAAACACTGAAAAGTGGGGCGCCTGGATGGCTCAGTCGGTTAGGTGTCCGACTTTGGCTCAGGTTCACCGTTCATGAGTTCAAGCCCCACGTCGGGCTCTGTGCTGACAGCTTGGAGCCTGCAGCCTGCTTCGGATTCCGTGTCTCCCTCTCTCTCTGCTCTTCCCCCACTTGCACTGTCCCCCTCTCTCTTTCTGCTCCTCCCCTGCTCATACTCTGTCTCTCAAGAAAAAGTAAACCATTAAAAATTTTTTTTTTAATTATAAAAGAGAACAAAAGCTTCATGACCTTACATTGGACAACAATTTCTTATATATAACACCAAAGATACGGTCCATAGAAGAATACTTGATAAACTAGACTTCATGAAAATTTAAAATTTTCATTCCAGAAAAGATCCCATTGATTAAATTAAAAAAGAGGGGCGCCTGGGTGGCTCAGTTGGTTAAGTGTCTGACTTCTATTCAGGTCATGATCTCACGGTTCGTGAGTTCGAGCCCCCACGTTGGGCTATGTATTTACTTGCGTCACCATTTGAAAGGAAATTGCAGACTAGTCTTTTATCACATTTCTCCTAAGAATAGGATATTCTCCTATGTAATCAAAATTCCATTACCACACCAGAGAAACCCATCATCAATATAACGTTCAATAATACTATGCTTTTTTAAATTTCTCCAGTCATCCCAACATCTTCATGGCTACCCGACCCCCCCCCACCCCCCGTTGCCAATTCAGATTCCAATCAATGTTCACAAATTACATTAACAATGAAATATCTCGGGGCGCCTGGGTGGCGCAGTCGGTTAAGCGTCCGACTTCAGCCAGGTCACGATCTCGCGGTCGGTGAGTTCGAGCCCCGCATCAGGCTCTGGGCTGATGGCTCAGAGCCTGGAGCCTGTTTCACATTCTGTGTCTCCCTCTCTCTCTGCCCCTCCCCCGTTCATGCTCTGTCTCTCTCTGTCCCCAAAATAAATAAACGTTGAAAAAAAAATTAAAAAAAAAAAAAAAAAAAACAATGAAATATCTCTTAAGTGTCCTGTTACCTTCAGTAGACCCGCTGGGGTTTTGTTGGTGTTGTTATTTGACATTTTTGAAGACATGTGGCCAGTTGTACAGACTGTCCAACATTCTGGACTCGTCTAATTGTTCCTGCAGATACAGGTTAAAGGCTTTCGCGAGCATAGTAGGTGGGTGACGTGTTCTACTGGCCACACATCACATCACTTCGGTTGGTTCCATTACTGGTGATGCTAAATTTGATCACTTGGTTAATTTTGACATCCGTCATCATAAAAATACGCTCTCGCAATGTGATCAACAGCCTAAGTTCAGCTGTGGCATGTTTCTTTGAAATCCTGAAACCTTCCCGTTGACCAACAAATTACCACCCACTGATGATCTTCGTCTGAGTAAGTTCTTACATTGATACCTGCAATCTAAATCGAAATTCTATCCTTCCATCTACATTTACTAGCTGCTGTTCTGTCACCCCTAACACTCTCCCTTTTTTTCTTTTTAATCTCCTTGGGGACATTTTGAAAATACGGTGTTTAAATACCCCGTGAAATTGGAACAGACCAACAGAACAGGATCGAGAGCCCGGAACATAACATGAAAAGCATTAATATTTGAAAAGGTCCATGAATGTGACTATGTTTTAAAAAGCAAAGCAAACACAAACTCTATTCTTCTAAAAACTTCCTTTAAGGCAGTGAAAAAGCAAACAGAGTGGTAGTAGATAACTTTGAACACACACAACTGACAAACGCCTTGTATCCCGAATCAAGTACTGACTCCCACAGATCAGTAAGACGATCCAAAAGAAAGACGGGCAAGAAACTTGAACATGCACGTCACATAAATGGATCTCCACCTGGCCGATAAACGTACGAAAAAGTGCTCTCAGCCTCGTTAGCAGTTAAAACCCGTGATGAGGACTACAATCTTTAAAGGTAACGGTGCATCGACTGAAAACTCGCCCGCACCGGTGGTGGAGGGTCACACCGGTAAAGAGTTTGAGAAGACAGGTTTGTGCTATTTACCAAGCTCGAGGACAGCCTCCACTCCGACCCAACGCGTCCACTCCAGGTGCGCGCCCCGCGGAAGCGCGTGCAGGTACAGCGGCACAGGGGGGGGGTCTCGGCGCACGCCCACCAGCCGCCAGCTGGGGCGACCTCGGCCCGCCGTCAGGGCACCCCTCGGCCGCGGCGCGCCCGCACAACGGGGCCACGAGAGGAGCTGCAAGTACGCGCAAGGTTGGGGGAGAGTTTCTCAGACGACATCGAACAAAAGGCAGACGCAAAACACTGCCAAGGGCGCCTCATTCACGGGACGTGACGGACAGGCAGTCAGGCCTGCCCGCACCATGGGAGGCGACGCCGACGCAGCGACCGCAGCCTCCTCCGCTCGGCCGCCGGCTGGACCCACGCGAGACGCCAGGCCCCGCCCACAGCGGGCCACGAGACGCCCGGCCCCCGCGCCGGCCACTTCCGGCCGCGCCGGGCCCCGCCCCCCAGCGAGAGCTGGGCCCGCGCCGGCCTGGCCCGAGTGGAGGCGGGGCTTCCGAAGCCCGACGAATCGCTCGCCCTACGGGAAAGGACGTACGTGTGGACCAGTACTGCGCGGGGGCGGAGACCCCGCCCACAAGCCAACGATCCAATCGGCCCCGAGCGGCGAGTGGGCCGCCGCGCCTGCGCGACCCTTCGGAGCCGGGCGGCATGGCGGGCGGGGCCCGGGAGGTGCTCACGCTGCAGTTGGGCCACTTTGCGGGCTTCGTGGGAGCGCACTGGTGGAACCAGCAGGTGAGGCCTGCGGGCGCTGTCGCCGCGGGGCCGCTCGGGGTCTCCAGCCGTCCCCGCTGAGGCCAGGCCTTCCCCTGTGCACCCCCAGGATGCTGCGCTGTGCGCCCCGACCGGTGCCAAGGAACCGCCGGGAGAACTGTGTCCCGACGTCCTATACCGGACCGGCCGGACGCCCCACGGCCAGGAGACGTACACGCCTAGACTCATCCTCATGGATCTCAAGGGTGAGGCGGCGGCCGGGGTCGGCCAGCGCGCAGGAGCCCCCGGGCGTGCGGACCGGAGACAAGCAGCCGCAGGGACCTGGTGGACTGTGGCACTCTCGTGGGACCCCGCGGTGCTCCCTTCCTACGGCCGCACAGCTCACGCCCAGGCTGGGGATGGAGGAGAATCTGGATTCTCCCAGACGAGGGTTTTACCGGGCCCAAGTGTGTGCACGAAAGCTCGGTGGCAGCAGGCTGGCAGGAAGATTAGCCGGAGGCGGGGAGGAGCGAGGCCTCGACCCGACGCTGCCTGTTCTTTTTTGTACAGGTAGCCTGAGCTCCCTAAAACAAGAAGGTGGACTCTACGGGGACAGACAGCTGGATGCAGCAATAGCATGGTACTGGTGACGTTGGCAGTGGGAATGTGCACAGGAAGCTGGACAGCTGCGAGGAACGGTCACTGAAATCCTTCTCCGTTCCCCCCCCCCCCCCCCAGGGAGTGTTGAGTAGTGATGGGATCTGGAGGGTCAAGTCCATTCCCAATGGCAAAGGTGAGACTTCCACCAGGTACTACAGGGCAGGGAAACGGGCAGAACAGCAACAGGAAGAACACTTCTTTTCGTTTTTCTTCAGGTCCCCCACCGCTGACCACTGCTGCAGCCCCCAAACCATTCACCCCCACAGAGGACAGCATCAGAGTCTGGTCGGATTTCCTCCGGGTCCATCTACACCCCCGGAGCATCTGTATGATTCAGAAGTACAACCACGATGGGTACGTGGGCCCCAAAGGGTGTGAACCGAGAAACGGGATCCCCACCGATGTTGATGGGGCTCCTGAGGCCACCTTCCCCGCCGTCCCTGCAAACGGGATCTTGCAGGGCTGGGGGGGGTGAGGGTCGGGGCTCCTGCGAGTCCTGGTTGTGGTCACGTCCGGCAGGGAAGCAGGTCGCCTAGAGGCTTTCGGCCAAGGCGAGAGCATCCTGAAGGAGCCCCGGTGCCTGGAAGACGTGGAGGACAGGCTGCACTTCTACGTGGAGGAGTGTGATCACCTGCAGGTAGCCGTGTGGCCAGGCGGGGCCTAGGCAGGACCTCAGCCTGCCCCGTCTGCCATCACCGTCTCCGTCCAGGGCTTCCAGATCCTGTGTGACCTGCACAACGGCTTCTCTGGGCTAGGTGCCAAGGCCGCCGAGTTGCTACGAGACGAGTACTCAGGGCGGGGAATAATAACCTGGGGCCTGCTCCCTGGGCCCTACAGTCGTGGGGTGAGGACACCTTGGGGAAAAGTCCTGGGGCATGGAGCGAGACCACCCAGGGAGAAAACTGCGTAACAGTCACTCTCCCTTCCCCCAGGACCCCCTGAAAAACATCTATCGTCTGCTGAACACAGCGTTGGGCCTGGTGCACATGTCCGCCCACAGCTCTCTGGTCTGCCCCTTATCCTTGGGCGGGGGCCTGGGGCTGCGACCGGAGCCACCCGTCACCTTCCCCCACCTGCACTATGACGTAAGGCTCGAGGTTCCTGTTGGGACTGCAGCCCCCACCCCAGCCTTTCTCTGCCACCAGCCCTGTTCTCGAACCCTCCGCTTGTACTCACCCGTGACACGGCCCCTTCGGAGCACGCTGTCCTTTGTCAAAGCGCCTGGATGCCTCTGCCATTAGGGTTCTGCCTTCACACTCTGCTTTCCAGACCCTGAAGGCTAAGTGCCCTTCTTGGTATCTTCGCAGCCCGCCCTGCCTTTCCACTGTGGTGCCATCCTGGCCACAGCCCTGGACACCGTCACTGCTCCGTACCGCCTCCGTTCCTCGCCAGTCTTCATGGCTCACCTGGCAGACATGCTGAACTTCTCTGGGAAGAAGGTACGAGCGCTGCACAGGCACCGGTCACAGTGGAGAGAAAACCGCTACTTGATCTCTCCCTTCTCTTTAGGTGGCGACTGCAGCGGCCACCATCCCCTTCCCCTTGGCCCCAGGCCAGTCCCTTCCCGACGCCCTGGTGCAGCTGGGAGGGGCTGCCACGTGGACCCCCCTGTCTGCATGTGGGAGCCCTTCTGGAACGTGCTGCTTCGCCCAGTCCGTGGTGCTGAGGGGTCTGGACAGAGCGTGCCACACCAGGTGAGGGGGCAGGTTCAGGGAGCCTGTCGGACTTCGGACTCCCATCCTGGTCTTGCACACACCTCTGGACATCCTGATGGCATCGCCCCACTCTTCCTCCTTCTGCCCCTCCCCCCCTTAAGAAAAGACCCTCAGCGTCCTGCTTCCGCTGATGGCCTACAAACAGGAAAATCCCTAGTTCCTGGTCCACAGATTAATGGTGGTTTTGGCTCTGTTCCGGCAGCCAGCTGGCCCCGGGGACCCCTCTGCCCTCGCCGCTGCACGCGTGCGCCACTGGGGAAGACGTCCTGGCCCAGTATTTACAACAGCAGCAGCCCACAGTCAGGAGGTCAGTGCGATGCCCACTCCCCACGCCCAGACCTCCTTCAACTTCTCGCTCAACCTCTGCTCTCGCCCCACAGCTCGGCCCACTTGCTGCTGGCTCCCTGCATGGTGGCTCCCCCGTACCCCCAGCTCTTCTCCCCAGGCCTCAGCCAGCACGGTTTGGTTGTGGATGGTCCCCCATCTGGGGCAGGTACGTGGGCAGTGAGGGTATGGGAGAGGTTTTACCGTATCCCTTCCTAGATGAAGGTTCTTGACAAAGCCCACAGTTAAACATCCCTTTATTCACTTGGTGGCCCCTGAGGGACGTGGCCTTCCTCTGGAGCACTGGTTTACTGAGGGGACGGCACACAGTCCAGTGAGTTCACTCTCCCATCCAGTCTGCGCGGCAGAGCCCAGGGTAGAAAAGCCATTTTCAGGCCTCCTTTTGTGTCCCTCTACAGCCGTGGAGAGCATCCCAGTGCTTGGGGCCCTCTGCTCCTCCTCGTCCTTGAACCGGACCCTGGGAGACCTGGCTAGAGAGCTCACCAAGCTGGATGTGCGGCGCTGGGCCAGCTTCCTGGCCGCCGGCGTGGAGCAGGGGGACCTGGACGAGGCCCTGCAGGAGCTGCGCAGCCTGGCCCAGTGCTACCGGAGTGGGGGTGGCCTCGTGGACTAAGGCTTCCCAGGAACAGGAAAGAGCTGGTTTACAATAAAAACTGCTGGGTATAGGAGCTCAATGTTCTGGGACTGGCTACACCAACACAAGCACTTCATACGTCTAGAACCACTGTGGTGGGATCACAGAACAATAAATATGTGCCATCAGACCCGGGAGGGGAGGGGGGCGGGGGGAGAGGGGAGGTAGAAAGGGAGCCAAGCCCACTCCCTCGATGCTGTTCACGAGAACGTTCAGAAAGACCCAGAAGGACTCGTAAGCTAGCAGAGCCATCCGCCCCCAGTTGGCCTCAGCCCCCGCGCCTCCGGCCCTACAGCCTGAGCTCCAGGGGTGGGGCGCCAGCCAAGCACAAGCGCCGCCAGCCGGGGCCAGCAGATGACACCGCCACGCGCCCAGGGTCACGCGTCCAGCTCCTCCTCCGACAGGAGGTCCCCACGGTCAGACAGCTGGTCTGTGTTGCTGGTGCTGGTCGCGTCCTCCTCCTCCTCAGAACTGGCCTCACAGGCTGTGTGGAAGAGCCGCATGAGTTCCCGGAAACGGTGGGAAACCTAAGGCCAGAGAGAAAGGTTCTGACGTCGACCAAGCAGTACGTGCCGATCGAGCAATCGGTCTGTTCCCCACAGTGAGGTCGGGAGGGCTGTGTCCTCCCCACACGAGAGGGGACTCCGGTCAAGAGGCTTATCAGCATCTGGCCCCAAATCGTACGGCTCCCGAACACGACCTGGAACGTCTGTGGGCTCCTGACGGTCCACCGCCCTCTCTCAAACTAAAACCAGACTCCCTGACGAGTCGGGCCCCTCCTTGGGGCCCACCTGTACAGTCGCGCTTGGTGTCCTGTCTCCTGCTTGGCCAACCCAGCCTCTCCTCGCCAGTCCGTGTGCTTGGATCCCCTGGGGCCCGAAGCTCTGGCACGGCTTTCGCCACTTACCTCGGTCGGGGTCTTGTTTCCTAGCTGCTGGGAGATGACGCTGAAAGTCTGTGGCTGTGCCCCCCGCTCCTGGCACATGGTGAGAATCACGCGGTCAGCTTCCCTGGAACCCACATACCACGATTAACTCCAGATTAGCAAAATGGACACATGCACTCATTTTCCAGATACACACGCAGCGGCCCCCCCTCCACCTACCTGGTCCACAGCACCACCTTCTCCCCGGTGGAGCTGACCTTGCTGTTGTTGGCACAAACAGTAGCTTCTGTGGTCTTCGGCTGCTGCTCTCCCACGGGAGCCTTGCCCTGCACTCCACAGTCCTTAACCAAACCTCCCCTAGGGGCTTTGGAAGAAGTCTCTGAGGTGTCCGTTCCCGACAACGACTCGTGGACGGGGGACATCCTGTGTGCGGTCTTCACCCCAGCTCTGCTCGACAGCAACCAGCTCCCCGGACTGTCTGAGACCTCAGACAACCGTCTCCTCCCTAAGTCTCTGGTCCTTGAGGAAACGGGACTCAGAAAGGAAGCAGGGTTCTCCTCGGTTCCAGGCCATTTCTCAGTTTCCGAAGCATCCCAGGCGGGAACGGAAGCCTCTGGCTCACCCACTGCCTCCTGGTCCTCCCCCTCATTCCGAAGTCTAGGGGACGCCTCAGGGCAGGGCAGGACCTCACGCTCAGCCTGGTTTCTCCTAACCACGCAGAGCACAACTCCAGGGCTGGAGGAAAGCTGAGGAGTCTCGGGTGAACAGGGCGGTGGGCCCCCCAGGACGAGCTGCTCTGTCAGGGTCACTTCCTGCGTGCTCCCCACTGCTGATCCTGCTTAGGAGGAAAATAAGGACCTAAGAGGATGGATGGGGTCAAGGTGCCCTGGGACTCCCAGTTACCACAGGGCCACACGGGTGGGCTACTGTGATGGAGCCCCAATCTCAAAGAGTGCGGTGGGGCTGGCTGAAGTCACTTAAATGAAGATAAAAGCCCGACTGTCAAGGCCCAGAATGGCAGTCTTCAGGACGCAGAGGACCAGGGTCCGGAGGGCAGGGAAGGGAATGCAGTCACGCTGCCTCGCACTCCCAATTCCTCGAGAGGACAGAGGCCACAGCAGAGCAAGTTAAGGCCGGCCAGAAGGATCTCCTATTACTTGTTAGTAAAAGAGGGGGTTCTCCGTCCAGGAAGGACTTGCTCGTCCTGGCTCAGAGACGTTCTTGGTCGAAGCATGTAAGGACATGGAAAAGGAGGGAAAGAGGCGGGGCTGGCAGAACACTCACCTGGAACAGGCAGAGCTCCCCTGCCGGGCGGGCCCTGGGCAGCCTCAACGCTTTCCCGCTCGTCTGGGACTTCCTCCTCCAGCAGGTCCTTGCCCTGCCCGGCCTCCTTAGCACCAGGCACAGGGCTGGCCTCGCGGTGGGGGCTGCCGCCCGCCGACTCATGGGGCTCCTTGCTCTTGTAGGATCTGCCGTCACAGACCTGCAGGAACAGCCTCCTTGGTCAGGGGTCTCCTGACTGCCTTTTTCTCTGGCGACCAAGCCCTGCCCCCACGTCCGGCAAGTACACCTGCTCCACCAACTTTAAACGACCCAGAAGGTGTCTGGTTCTACCCGCCGTTCTCCAAGCAAGGACTGTATCTTTGCTGCCAACCAACCCTAGAGACCCGGCATTACTTTGAGGGTCTGTTTTCTTGACACAAGTGTATCTCATTATCCAATTCCAAAAGCTTTACCCACAGGACTTTTTTTTAAGGTGTATTTATTTTTGAGAGAGAGTGCGTGCACGTGAGCACGCAGGAGAGGGACAGAGAGGAGACAGAGGGTCTGAAGCAGGTTCCAGGCTCTGCAGTGACAACAGAGAGCCCGATGCGGGGCTCGAACTCACAAACCATGAGATTGTGACCTGAGCTGAAGTCAGACACTTAACCGACTGAGCCACCCAGGCGCCCCATCCACAGGATTGTCTTTAAAAAGCAAATCCATTGCACACGTGTAAAAGATTCTATTTTGACTCAAATAGCGCGTGCACCGCCTATCGCGTGGGTGCCGTCCTTGCAGGAGCTCAAGGTGGTACCCCGTGCGGGAGCGGACCTCACCCCGAATGGGGAGGCAGTGCGGACGCCCGCCCCTCGGTGCGGCCCGGCCCGGCTCACCCTGCTGCTGCAGCGGCTACACCCTCTTCTCTTGCTTTTCTTCAGCTTGGGATCGGGGCCTCCTTCGTGGCAGGAGCAAGCACAGTCCCGGGCGCCATCCGGCCACTCGGCCTCCTAGGAGATACCGGGCTTGGTTAGCCGCCCGGCACGTCCGGGACCGAGAGAAAGCAGAGTCGTGGGGCCTCAGAACAGGTCGCCCCAGCACCCACACCAGCCTCCTCTTTCATGAGCCCCCAACTCTCCAATCGGCCCAGGAACTCTCAATCCCAGCCTGTTCTAAATCCCCGAAACCACCCTTAAATGACCCAAAGATGGACCTCTCCCAGTTGCCCAGATGTTTCAAGAAATACGTAAGTCACATACAATCTGAGGCAAAGTCCCAGGAAAGGCCGTCACAGGGTGTGACCTGACTCGACCACCTTCGCTCCTGCCTCCCCGTGCCTTGAGCTCTGCCCCCTCCCAGCCCCATTGAGGGGGGCTTTCTTTGTGCTTTTGGAGGCCCCCACATGACACTCTGTGTTCAGTAATCTCGGATGCAAGTTATCCCAACCAATAACAAGGAAACTGAAACCGAGAGAGGTGAAGTAAGCTGCCCAAGGTCATCCAGCTAAGAAGCCGTTTTCCGCAAGGGAAAGTAAAAGACATTCAGGAAAACAGACTCCTTGGAGAGCAGCAGAGGGCAGGGAGTCTGTGCAGACCTATTCGCACCCCAGCACAGCCACTTATGGACACGAGGCCCTGGCGACGGCCTCGCCATGAATGTCCGTTTCTGCCTCTGTGAAATGAAATGAGAGCAGTCTCTTGGGGGGACTGCCAGGGGGCTCACCGAGAGAATGACCAGGTACGTGCCTCTAGGAGCCACGTGCACTTTGTCACCAGTACTGCTAAAGTGGGGGCTCGCTTCTGTGTCTTCATACCAACAGAAAGGAAGAAGACAAGACCCAAGAGAAATAGCTCCGAGCAAGAGAGAGGAGGGGGTAAACCTCCTCCTAATGGGGTGGCCGGTGGGGTGCTCTCCAGCATCCGCACTCCTCTCGCCAGGGGCTCCACGGCCTGACCTCGGGCTCCTGCAGCACGCATGGCACACTCGGCCAGAGAAATGCTCACGAAACTCAACTCAAGGCCTGATTCACGACCGACAGATCACGCCCAACAACCCGGATACCTTATCGTGATTTTGGACCCCGATCTCTTTTCTTCTTTTGCTTTTTGAGGCCGTGGGCATCTTGGGGGGCTCCTCCTCCTCTTCCACATCAGGCAGGGCTACTTCTTCAAAGCCATCAAACTGGGGGACGAGTGGGTGCTGCTCAACGCAGACCCTGGGCAGGCACTCCGCGCTCCCACGGCCATCCCGCCTCCCAAAGCCCCGCAGCCCCTGGCCCCGCACCTCATACTCCTTCTCCTCTGTCCAGTTGATCTCTTCAAAGTCGCCCAGCCGGCTGGCCGCTGGGCGCAGGTGATCAAAGAAGACGGAGAACTCATCTTGTAGGTGGTCGTGGCCCTTGAGGAGCTGCCACATCTGTGTCTTGAGCTGAGAGGGTGTCAAGGGACAGACACGTCCCCCAGGCTTCTCCAGGTGGCCATCCCACACCAGACCCACATACTCCCAAGGCCCACTTCCCTGGTGCCCTGAGGGACACACAGAAGCCTCTCTTTGAAGGCTAAGGGTTCTTCACTGCCCCCTCCCTGCTCGCGAGCCTGCGCTGGAAGGGTGCTAACAGTACGCGCGACCCCCAATGACAACACTAACGATACGTGTGACCCCCAGCTCAGGCAGCATCACCTGCTCCCTGCACCTCCCTCCCAGGGCACTGAGGGCACCTTGAGGCAGTCAGGCTCAGGTTTCAAGGGACAAGCCCCCCCCTATTCCAGGACCTTAGGCTTTAGAAAAGCCTAGAAAGTCCTCCCCTTCTACGCCCCTCCAGACGTCCACAGTCCCGGCAGCCAGAGAACACGGCCCGGTCAGGGGACGGTGGGAGGCGCAGGTGCACAGAGGGTGGAAGCAGGACGGGCAAGGGTACCTCGCTGATCTCCTGGGGCAGGCAGTCCGCGCAGCTCTGCAGGACCTTGATGATCTTCTGGTGGTGCGAGGGGTTCTCTGCAAAGCAGATCTCCAGCTGCCGGAGAAACTTGCGGCTCTTCTCAAAAGCCTGCTGCTCCTCAAACTACCACAGGGGAAAGAAGGCGAGAGAGTCCCCTGCGCGGCTGAGCAAGACCAGAGTGCTCTGAGCAGAAGACGGGAAATGCGGGCCGGGGACTGAGGTTGACGGGGCTCCTTTACAACCACGAGACGGACTTTAAGACCTGGAGTCCAGGGCGCCCGGGTGGCTCCGTGGGTTGAGCGTCTGACTTCAGCTCATGATCTCACCGTTGGTGAGTTCGAGCCCCATATCGGGCTGTGATGACAGCATGGAACCTGCTTCGGATCCTGTATTACCCCTCCCCGCCCCACCCCCCACCGCCACCTCTCTCTGCCCCTCCCCTGCTCATTGTCTCTCAAAAATAAACATTAAAAAAAAAAAAAAAAAGGAATATGCTAAAAGAGCCAGGCGTCCACCCGAGGGTTGCAATGTCAGCCAGCCCACGACACCGGGGACGTGAACAGGCCCAAGAGAAGCGCACGTCAGGGTGCTGGGGTTTCATGGACTGTGAAGTCACACACTCAAGGCCCTGTGGCACCACACGGTTTACAAAGCTCTGCACACGAGTGCTCGTCTAAGCCTCATAACCACAGGGGAAGAGCGGATGGCATGGTGTGCGATCACCCCGTTCCCAGGGCACCCGGGTGGCTGTCGGTTGAGCAGCCGACTTCAGCCCGGGTCATGATCTCACGGTTCGTGAGTTCGAGCCCCACACAGGAATGGCTCTCTGCTGTCGACACAGAGCCTGCCTTGGATCCTCTCTCCCTCTCTCTGCCCCTCCCCCACTTGTTCTCTGTCTCTCCCTCTCTCAAAAGAATAGACTTAAAAAACAAAAATCACCCCACTCCCATGTGACTGCCTCAAGACCATCAGAACCATCTCGTTGCACCACTCATTCCGGTGTCTCTCAACCATGACAAGACGTCCAGAACTACTGGGATATTCCCTCGTGGTTACACATTTCTCTCCAAAACTTCAAATGTCACCTTACGTGCCGGCCATCCCACACCACCGTGCACGTGATACAACTGTAGTCCCCCTGCCCCATTCCACCGACAGCCCTCACTCCTCCCTCCCGACGTGTTCTTCTGTGAGGCCTTGTCACCAGGAAGCGCTATGCACATTTACTATTTCTGTCGCCTTTCTGATCCTCAAATCTACTTACTATATGCATTTCACCATTTATCACCCGACTCTCCCAGGAGAGTGGAAGCTCCACACGGGCAAGGATGTCACCCTTTTGTAATGGCTGTACTCTCGGCACCTAGAGCTCTGCCCAACATGTACTAGGCACTCGGTTAAGTGTTTGTTGAACGATCGCCTGTTTCACCACAGTGAGGCGCAGAGGGCACATGATTTACCTGAGGCCCGTGAGGGCAAGCAAAGGTACGACCCCACATGGCACACATAAAGAAATGGGGAGACGAGGGGCCGGGAAGATCACCTCTTGAAAAGAAGAGGGCTCTGTGGGCCATGCCCGGGTCATCTGACCAGGGGCCGTCGGGGGACGGGCACAGTGTCCGTGAACCTCGCTCGGCCCCACTGTCACCGGACCCAGCAACCCCATCCACTTACTAATCCACAGGCCAGAGCCTGCTCGGGCAACAGGAAAGCAGCAAAGTCCTTGAGCAGCTGAGGCCAGTCCTGGAGCAGGATCTGCAGGCTTCTGTAGAGATCCACAGCGGTCTGCCGCTGAGGACTTGACTCGAACTCATAGATAACCTGAAGGAAGTCCTCGTACTTGCCAGGGGCGTGCCGCAGGGCTTCTCGCACCTGCGCAGGAGACGTGCCACCATCAGTGCTCTGTCCGCGGGCCCCAACACGAAACAGCAGCACGGACCGAGGAGCAGGGGCCCCGCTAGAGAGCTCCGAGACCCGCCCTGCACAGGCCGCTCCTGACAGATCCCCAGATCTGTTCGTGGCGGACACCGCACTGAGCGAGGCACAGCTCTCTTCCGGTGGCGGGCGTCCACAAACCACAGCCCTGCCCACAAGACCAGCAAGTTTCTCTAGCTCACAGTCCTACCCTGTCCCGGACTTCAGCTCCCCGCTGAAATAGAGGAGCGCCCTGTGCACAGCATCAACTGAGGGTAAATAATACAGGAGTCAGGAAGGTGAGGCAGGACTGTCACTGCGAGCACACCCCCTTGCTGGGGGGGCGGGGGGGCGGGACCAAGAGAATGAGACTGTGGCACAAGACAGGAACAGGCTGGCTCATGTCTCTGGAGACCAAGGTGCTTCCCTGAGGTCCACCCTCGGGCCGATGCACAATAGGTCTTTCTTCTCAAGCTGCGAGCCCGGGAAAGGCCCTTATTAGCCAACCCGTGAAGTCCCCCTTACGATGATGGTGGGATCACCTTTCCCAGCTTTCTGAACAACAGAGGGGTGATGCTCAGGGACTACGACAAGCCACGTGTCACTGAGCCCTGTGCCTCGCGGCCCCTCACACAGATCCCTGGAAGAAGCAGCCGAGCTCGGAGGGACGGTAACAGGAAGCGGCATCTGCCTACCCTGGTCAGGTAAGCCTGGGCGAAGGCCAAGTCCTTCTGCTCCCTGAGTGGGTCCCGCTCCAGGATGTCCTCATCGTACAGCAGCAGGAGCTTGGAGGTGTCCTTGCTGGCCCGGGCCCGGCCTCCCCGCCGGCCGCGAGCCCGCTGGCTGCTCCGGCCCTTCCCGGCAGCCCTGCCACCCTCTCCTGGAGAAGACACCAAGCCCACGGTTGCTCCGACCCCACCGCGCCGCCCTTCCGCCCCGGCTCCTCAGGAGACCCCACCCCCTGCTCCGGGTCCGGGAGGGCCTCGGGAGAAGAGCTGGTGGGAAAGTGGCGGGAAGGCAAGACTGGCAGGTGAGCCCTGTGCGGGCTGCACAGCCGTGCTCTCTGGGACGCTCAGGGCACCTCCGCTACTGTGCACTGAGAAAGGGAGTCCTGAGAGCGAGCACAGTCCTACGCTGGGCTCTCGGAGGACTACGTGTTGCTGAGGAACGGCAGTGTCTTCTGAAATAAACGTAGCTCTCAGCCTCACGCGTGACAGAGGGATTGAGCGCCACCGAAAACCCGGGATGAACCCGGTAACAAATCTAACAGCTGGTACAAACCAGCACAGGCACCGACCGGGCAAACGTGTCTGGGGAGGGCGGAGGGCAGGGGAGGTCCAGAGGATTTCCTTGGAAAACTCACACCTGGTTTCTAGACTGTTCTGCACGCCCGGCAGAAAGGAGGCCAGCTGGGCCCCGCACACGCCCGCATGCACACTCACCTGGCGGGGCGCTGCCGGCCTCCGCCTCCGGAGCTGTCCTGGGCGAGGCAAAGGTGGCCGGCGGCTTCTCAGCAGGGTCTCCGGCGGCCTCGTCTGTCATCTCATCCTCCTTCTGCAGGCTTTCCATCCCTTCTGCCTCTTCCTCCTCCTCCTCCTCGGGCTCAGAGTTCTCTTCCTGGGAGTTCTCCTCCTCGGACTCGCCCTCCTGGCCCGCGCGCCTCTCAGAAGCCAGCCAGGTCAGCTTCTCCATCGTCTCCTGCGACCCCCCCCCGAGAGCATCCCCAGGGCTGGCATCGGCTCGCCAGGAGCCACCGGCACAACCCCCCCAGCACAGACACCGGAGCACGGTCGCCTGGGCACAGCCTCCGGGGTCCAACGTGGAGTCGGCACCCAGGGAGAGCTACGCTTGCAGCCTGGTGGCAGGGGACCGTGGGAAGAAGATGCGTTTTGAAAGGCCACCCTCTACCCTGAATACGGCTCTCCTCTGCCAGGGTCCACGCTCAGGACCTACACACGTAGGCGTTCAAACCGTGCACAGGTGATTCGATCTAACAGTTAAGGGACCCTGTGCCAAGCGAAACTCGTAAGTACACGTCCACCCTTTTCCTCCCCTCGCCTCCACCCCCACGGCGTGTCTTGCAACGTTTTCAAGAGTCGAACTGAAGGCAGGACTGTCTAGAGGCAGCAAGCAAGCGGGTGGCCTATCCGTCACTCAGGCAAATGGCTGAGACCACAGAACACATGAGAACATTCCCTGGCTCTCACCTGGAGCTCGGGGACAGACAGCACAGACTCCTCCGAGGCCGAGGACATCTCGTCCTCCTCATCTTGGGTGAGGTCGTCAAAGTCCTCCTCCTCCTCCTCCTCCGGCCCGTCCTTTTCCGCCCCAGCTTCCGGCCCAGCCGGGGTCCCGGCCGCCTGGCAGTCAGCGCTAGCGAAGCCCTCACACTTCCCGGGGGGGCTGCTGCGCGCCGCGTCGGGGTCGGCACAGGAGGAAGCGGTCCTCGGAGAGCCTTTGCTCACGGCTCCCGAGTGTCCCTCGTCCCGAGGCTCCCGAGAGGCTGAAGAGGTTCTCGCTGGCTGACTTCCCTCCTCCTCCTCCTCCTCCTGCTGTAAGACGGGCGGCCTCCTTGGCTCCTCCCCTGGGAAGCCAGCGTCCAATCCCACAGAGCACCCTGCCCTGCTGTCCTCACAGGCGTCCTCCCCGGGGTCTCTGGGCTCCATCTTGACGACGTCCTCCAAGTCCCGGGGGGGTGTGCTCAGAGACTCTCGGGAGCCCAGGGGCGGCTCCAGACCTTGCCCCCCATCCTCTGCTTTCACAAGAGTCCAGCCACAGGCGCTGTTCTCCGACAGCTCTTCCTGGCACACACGGTCTGCTGCTGGTGGCCCTGGGCTGTGCTCCTCTTTGGGGAAGACAGGGGCACAGAGAGGAGACAGTTCCTGGGGTTCTAATTTGGGTTCTAGGCCTTGAAAGGCATTTTTCCCTTCAGCCAAAGGACAACTGATGTCCACACTCACCGGGGCCTTATCTTCAGGGGCGGGCGGGACAGGAAGACTCACAGAGTTGCCGGAGACAATCAGGGGTGGGAGAGAGGAGGCCACAAGGGGCTGACTCAGTGGGCAGGGGAAGGAAGTGGGGTTCACCAGGAGGGTGGTGATGGGAATGGCCTGTGGACTCTGGGCCACAGCCGCACTGACAGGCTGGATCACGTTGCAGCCACTGCCAAGGCTCACCACCTTGACCGTGGCAGCAGGCACAGTGAAGATAACAGGTACGGGGTGGATGAGGGAGGCTGGCTCCAGACACAGAGAGGCCTTGGCCCCCTTTCTCTTTGAGGCTCTCGGCCTCGCACACGGCTTTCGAAACTTAGATGGGGCAAGCGAGGGCAGCATCACCTTGGGCACAGGGGCAGAGGGGAGCGCAGTCTGGGGCTCAGACAGGGGGAAGCCGGTCCCGGCCTCAGGGGTCGTGGAAGGCAGTGCCGTCGGAGACTCAAAACTGTCCCCACCAGGGGCCCCCGGCGGAGGGACACCTGGCACTGTCTGCACGACAGCAGCTGGCTGGATCACGTGAGGAATTCGGACCACCATTTTGCTTGGAGGGGCTTCTGGTGGAGTGGACCTCGCCGGTGTTTTCCCGGGGGTGGAGCCAGGCTGGAGAGAGGGGCTGGGTCTGATTAGGAGGGGCTTCAGGACTGACGGCCGCTTCTGTCTCCAGGCCTTCCTGGAAAAACAGTTGGCAACTGGCTTCAGTTTCAGGACCACACCCTTGGGCAACAGCAGTGGGTACGGAGTTTCACTCCCCAGTTCCGAGCTGCCTGTCCCCAGGCCTGGCTCTGAGCTGACCTCAGCGGCTCCCGTCACACCTCCTACCCCTCTGGCGCCGTCAGCTCTGCGCCACAGCTCCTCCTGGATGGACGGCAGGCTGGCCTATTGAGAACAAGAACACACGGATCCAGCACATGTCAGACCCTGGCAAAAAGAACAGGGCTTCCTGGATTTGAGGGGCCTTTCCCGGACAGTCTCGAGAAATCTTTCTAAAGTTTCTCCTGCAGGACACAAAATTTCTACAAAGACTACATTCCAATCACAGCCTCTAGAAATGCATTTGACCCACCACTTATCGAAGGCTGTGGAGCCACCTTGGGGAAGGACAAGAAGCAGGAGAGGAAGGGTGCATGAGGAGGAGTGCCTGGGCCCCAGGCCTGCAACTCCAGCTCTGAAGGCATAAAGTGGCCCTTGACGTCTCTGGCAGGGTGTGGTGTCCCCCCGCCGCATGCACACTCGGGGAGCAAGGCTGCACCTTTAACCAGAATGGAAGCCGGTGCTCCTCCCTCTCTACAGGCGGCCTCCACTGATGCGGCTGGAGCTCTTCACAGCACTTCACCAGGATGGGCAGCTGTTTGGTCTTCTTATAAAACTGAGCAAGAAGGAATGAAACACGAGTTACATTCTGTCCAGAAACACTGCCCTGTCAGGCTGGGGAGAGGAGTGTGCTCTAACATACACACACACATACACACACACACACACAGCACGTTAAATGCTTCTACACCTCAAATGACACTAATCTCCAATAAAGATTTTACAACACTCTGTGTCATCAGACAGGGACAAGTTTAGGTCACAGAGAAAAGGAAGCAGATGGTCAGAGCGCTCATACTTAAAACCTGCTCCTACTCAGCTGTCATGACAGTGCCTGAGCCCTCATCCGGGACACATGGACACTTCCTATTAAGGAAATAACGGTGCAAGGGACACCAGAAAGGAGGGAAAGAAGAAGAAAAGAGAGACGGAGACAGTTTTAAGAGTAAATTTACAGGGAAAGTGAACTCACGGTGACAGTAAGCATCCATTCAAGCAACATCTGTGCTACAGGCCGAGGGTACAACTAAGAGAAGACATTCCTGCCCCCCAGGGGCTTACAGACTAGTAGGAGACAGTCAAAGAGGTCAACAATGACACCCTCTGTGAAAGAGTACAAAAATGCACAAAACAATGACACACATCTGACATTTGAACAATAAGGATATTTCTGGAGCAGATGCAACTACAGATGAATCTTAAAGGCATAGAGTTTGCTGAGCAAAGGGGCGGGGCGGGGTGGGGAACAGGCAGAGCAGACTTCTGGTTCCAAACCTTGAATGCACGTAAGGAACCACAGAGACTGGTCTGGCTGCAACACAGGAACATGGAGAGACTTTCAGGGACAAGTCAGAGGTAAGACACGGCAGGCCTTCTGTGCCACACCAGGCGGTCTGACTCGTGTCCAGAAAGGTTATCTGGAGGTGGCTATGGCAGCAACGTGAGGGACAGGATAAATGGAGCCAGAAACCGCGGGTAGAAACTAGCGTGTTCCTCACGGTGTCGCCAAGGCCAGCACTAAGCCAATGAGCAGCAGGGTAGGACGCAGGTTAAGACAACAGAGGACTTGGTGACAGAGCAGCAGGCACAAGTGATCACGCTGCAGGGGTCAAGGAGAACTCGCAGCAACGTGGGCTGAGACAACAACCAGAACGAGCAGATCATAGCAGGGGCGAGTGGTGTGGCGGGGGAGGGGGGGGTCTGCTGGTGGGGGAGGTTGGTGGCAACACCTGGAAGGTGCAAAGGGACACGGTTCAGACTGAGAAGTCAGCAAGGAGACCGAAAGAAGACTTCCTGGCAACAGTTGGTGACGCGACGCAGACACTTAGGAGAAAAGTCCAGACCGAAGACACAGACCTGAGGACCGTGAGGAGACAGATCGCGCCAACACGCACGAACGTGGAAGGGCCCACACGCTGCAAGGCCCCTGTGGAACCCGGACACTTGAGCAGGGCAGGCAGACTTGGGGAAGCAGCCGCAGCGAGAGCAAGAGGGGGCTGCAGAAGTGAGCAAGCTGCAGGGTCAGCAGGACAGCCACCCAGAGGAGAGCCAGAGAGCAGCCCCCAGATCGCTAACGGGAACACAGCCCCCGGATCGTTAGCAGGGAATGCACTGAGGTTTTGCAGGGAAGACGTCCACACTTGCAGCGGTTACACAGTAAAGGAGAAACTTACTGTTAAAACAGATTAAACACATCCATTTAGCTTTGTTCTTTTTTTTTTTTTAAATGTTGATTAATTTTTGAGAGAGAGGGACACAGAGCATGAATGGAGGAGGGGCAGAGAGAGAGGGAGACACAGAATCTGAAGCAGGCTCTAGGCTCTGAACTCTGGGCTCGGAGCTGTCAGCACAGAGCCCGACCCAGGGCTGGAACCCACAAGCTGTGAGATCATGACCTGAGCCGAAGTCGGACGCTTAACCGACTGAGCCACCCAGGCACCCCAGCTTTGTTCCTTCTTAAAACCCCATGAAAACAGAAGGGAGCTGTGGTGAGGTGGAAGCCTATATGGAGAGCAGATGGAAGAAAAGGTAAAAGCAACACAGTCTTCAAAGCTAATGAGTGGACGGATGAGTAGAGACACAGGGAAAGGAAGAGCCAGATCCCACACGGAAAGAAGTTTTAAGGACCAGCTAGACAGATGTTGGAGAAAAACACAGAGAAGTGGGGGTAAAGCTGGAAGCAGAACCGGGTGACGAAGAGGACAGGTGCCGCCCAAATCCCACCCCATTTGGTGTAGCCAGACGGCGGCCTCCCCCCAGCCCAACAGCAGCGGCTGGACTGAGGCTGCCGGAGACAGGTCCAGCCTCCGTCCTGTCCTGCTTCCCACGCACCCTCTGCCATCCACCATTAAAAACTATTCAATGAACAAAAAAAAGCTATCGGAAATTAAAAATATTAACAGGAAAAGCAAAGAGAAAGAAAAAGTCACAAGAAAAAGAAAAAGCTGAAGTAACATGCCAGAAAGACCAACAGAAGATCGAGTGCTGGAAAAAGAGAAGACAGCAGGAGACCACCGCGGGGAGGCCGGGCACCTGACACGGACAGGCCAATGGTGGGGGCCGCCCAGTCCTCGCAGAGCTAATGACAGACCCATACTAGGCATTCTAGGCATTCATATTACCATGAAATTCCAAAACAATGGAGAAAAGGAAAAACCCTACATGCTGTAGGGGGACAGGAAGCACAGGTGTCACACAGGTTCAAGAGGCAAAATGGCATCAAATCCCTAGAGGCGGAAGTAGCGACTAGGAGAAAATGCAGCAAGGTCCTTCGAAGAGTCAGACGCTATATCAGCTAAGCCACCCAGGCACCCCAGCCCTTTAACTTTCTAAGAACAATTATTTTCAACTTTGGGGCACCTGGTGGCTCAGTCGGTTAAGCGTCTGGCTCTTGATTTCGACTCAGGTCATGACCTCACGGTTCATAAGATGAAGCCCCGCGTCGGGCACTGCACTGGGTGTGGAGCCTGCTTGGGATTCTCTCCCTCTGCTCTTCCCTGCTCGTGCACTCGCACTCCCTCTCTCAAAATTAAATACATTAAAAAAACATGATTTCCAACCTCAAATTCCAGACTTCCTAAAGGTGGCGAGTAGAAAAGGGATATATTTTTCAACGTGTTATTTTAAACAATTACAGACGCATAAAAAGTTGCAAAACTAGAAAGGTCTTACGTAGCTTTCCCCCAGGTTCTCCCAATGGCCAGACCTTATGTCACACGGTGACAACAGTTACACACACAAACCAAATATACAGCACAGCAGCTAAACCAGGCACAGCCTCTGGTCCAATCCGCGGAGCGTGAATACCGTGAATATGGACAGTCTAAATGGAAACACCTGTTTCTCTAGCATTCTCCCCCAGATTGCTACGAGGCTGTGCTCCACTAAAACAGGGTGAATAAAGCAGACGAAACAGATGTGGGTTCGGGGACTAGGAGGATGCACACAGGTAAGAGGCACAAGGAAGCCCCAGGATGATGGGGAGGGGAAGCCCAAGAAGACACTGTGCGACAAGGCGAGAGAGCAGCCTGTCCAGAGGGAACAGCCTCAGAGGAGTCAGGGACGGAACATCCACACCGTGAACACACTCAGAGGAGATCTGTAACATGGAGGTAAAGTCCAGTGCTGACCAGCTAGCACACACCCTTGAGAGCGAGCTCTACCCACTCCCCCAAACGCAACTACTACCCCACAAAACACTACATGCCCGCAGGAAAAGCCAAGCAACCAGGCTGGACCACACCGCTCAGCTGCGAGGAGCGTTCACAACGCGCTATCACGTTTTAACGTGAGCCCTGAACACAATCTAGCCAACTGTGGTCTCGTGGGAAAGCCAGACAACAGGAGATGCCACGTGGTGACGAGGGGCTGTGGCACAGGGAGGAGGGGAGGAGGGGAGGGCTGAGTCTCCGCCGCCCTGGTTGCGCTTGAGTTAAGTGACGCCTCAGGGCAAAACGTCAAGCGGTGGCAACGACCCGCAAGCCACCCGGACACGGAGGCAGACACGCCACCCCTCAAAACGGCAGCAGGAAACGGAGAGAGAAATACCAGTTTTCATGATCAGCCTCACAGAACTATCCGACTCTTCAAAGCTCTTAGGTACCTTTTACCAAGTATGTACTTTTAACTTTGACAGAAAGAGCCAAGGACAAGGATACGGTGGAATGTCGTTCACCCTTTCAAGAAGGCTGGAGGCCAAGAAGACAGGCGGCTAGAGGGAAGCGTGAGGTCAAGAAATATTTTAAGAGTTGGGATGCTTTTATTTTTAGGAGAAATGCCCGTAAGAGGAGGACGAGGGACTTCGAGGGGAGGAAGGGCTGCCCGGGAGCCCCCAGCTGGGGCGGGAGGAGCCAGGCACTCACTTTGATGATGTTGTCGGGCGCGCGGTTCATGTTGAGGTTCTTGATCCGCACGGTCAGCTGGTGGGCGGTCTTGCAGGTGAGGAGGTACTTGCTCATCAGCAGCTTCGGAAACTTGGTCCCTTCAAAGTGCTTTAGCCCTAAAGCCAACAAACTGAGAGAGGGGCAGTGCTGACCAGCGGGGCAGTTCTCCCCAGAGAACTCCGCGGGGTACGACCCACCGTTCCCACACCTCATTCCTGCGTGAGTCGACACAGAATGGCTGGCGTTTCCTGAGAGCTGGTAGGTTCTAAGACCTGCTCAGCTCAAAGGAAGGCAAAGGAAGGAGAATGGGGCTCAGGGAACAAGTATGAGATGAACAACGGGCTCTGTGTGACGTTAAACTCAGCACCAACCGCCTCCCCACACGACCCACTCAACTGCGGCACCTGTACACCACAGGCCGCCACGGCAGTGGGCGGCACAAATCAAGAGCCGTGGAAGTGTTCATGACCTTCATCAAATAACCTCACGCTTGGCAATTTACCCAAAGGGGTAAACCCAAAATACTTTCAAAAGCTCTATGCACACAGATCCTTGGGGAAGCCTCGCTACAACAGCAAAACAAGAGAGGAGAAAAAATAAAAGTGGCAAATAAAAGGACTATCGTAAGGCCGTTAAATATCAGTTTAAAAGACAACACACAGAAACAAAAGTAAAGACAATGTGACAGTACAGAAGAACAATTTCAAGGCGTTAGGTAAAAACAAAACAAAACAAAATTATACTTAAATTGCCAATAAAGATTATATGGAAAATGCAAAAAGAAAAATCATTGGAGGCACTTGCTGGCTAGGTGGATAGAGCATGTGACTCTCGATCTCAGGGCTGTGAGTTCAAGCCCTACAGCAGGAGAATTTACCAAAAAAAAAAAAAAACCACAAAGGAAAGAAAAAAA